ATATTTGTACCACTTTCATTCCTTAGTGCATTCATTCTCGTTTCAACTTTCTCATGGTATCAAGCAAGTTCCCTCGTGGAAACTGTGCCTAGGGCCCACCACATCAAATTTTTTTTTTTCCTGCCTGGAGCGCGCTCCCCGAGTCGCGCTCCCCTCTCTGCCTTCGTCGAGCCGCCCTAGCGGCCACGTCGCGCCGCCTTAGCGGCCCCAGCTTCCTAGCCCTTGCGACCCTGTAGCCCCACCTACGGCCCCGACCCCGTCGCCTTACCTGCGCCTCGGCCCCGTCGCCCCACCTGCGCCCTGGCCCAGTCGCCCTACCTGCGCCCCGGCCCTGTTGCCCTACCTTCAACCCCGGCCCCGTCGCCCTACCTGCGACCCCGGCCCCGTCGCCCCACTGCGACCCTGGCCCCGCCGCCATCCCTGCGGCCCCGCCCCTAGCCCCGTCGCCCTACATGCGCCCCGGCCCCGTCGCCCTACTTGCGACTGCGGCCCCGTCACCCCACCTCCGACCCATGCCCCGTCGCCCTACCTACGCCCCGGCCCTGGCCCCGTCGCCCTACCTGAGTACCGGCCCCGTCGCCCTACCTTTGTCCCGGCCCCCTCGCCCTACCTTCGACCCGGCCCCGTCGCCCTACCTTCGACCCGGCCCCGTCGCCCTACCTTCGACCCGGCCCCGTCGCCCTACAGCGGCCCCGCTGCCCTACCTGCGGCCCCGCCGCTCCTACCAACGGCCCCACCGCCCTACTAGCGGCCCTACCGCCCTACGCAGCCAAGCCGCCCGCACCGCCCTAGCCGCCCGAGCCGCCCGAGCCGCCTGAGCCGCCCGAACCGCCCGAGCCGCCTGAGCCGCCTGAGCCGCCCGAGCCGCCTGAGCAGCGGAGGAGCCGAGCTGCGGGTGCCGCCGAGCCGCAGTTGCTGCCGCGCCGCCCGAGTCCTCCGAGCCGCTGTGTTGCCGAGCTGCCCGAACCGCCCTGTCTGGTGAGAGCAGCGCCCCTGACACTGCACTGCCCCTGCACTACAGCTAGCGCTGCTAGTCTACTGCTGTCATGGACACCCCCAATGTTTTGCACCGAGGGCAAGGCCATTGACTTTGACGTCTGGGTAGATGACCTGCAGCTTTTCCTACAGTGCGATAGGGCAGACGGTCTCTCCCTCTTTGACCTCACCTCTGGTGCCTCCCCTCCCCCTGCTGCCGATGCCGACGCCACTGTTCGCTCACAGTGGGCCACTCGTGATGCTGCTGCACGTCTTGCTGTGCGTCGCCACCAGCCTACCACTCAGCGCGCGCACTTTAGTCAGTACAAGAGTGCTCAAACCTTGTACGACGCTGTAGTTGCGCGCTACTCTTCCCCTGCCACTGCTGCACTAAGCCGCCTCCTGCTACCGTACCTCTTCCCCGACCTTGCTGCCTTTCCCAGAGTCGCTAACCTCATTAGGCACCTCCGCACTAGTGACACTCGCTACTGCGCAGTGCTTCCTACTGATCTCTGCGCCAAAACCCCCCCCCCCCCCCCCCCCATGTACATCACTCTCTGCTACATAGTCACCCGCCTCCATGACTCACTTGGTGTAGTCAAAGACCACTTCCTCTCAGTCTGTCCCACCACTCTCACTGTTGACCTCCTGGAGAAGGCCCTCTTAGCAGCGGAGAAGAGCATAGTCACTGTAGGAGCCTCTCGTGGTGACCCTCGCACCCCCATCTTTGAGGGGGGTTCCCCTTCCCTCCTTTTGCCCTCTGTCGCCTCTGCTGCTGCGGCCGACCTCGTTGGTCTTGAGTCGGTCAGTGCGGCGTCTGCCCCTAGCGGGAGTCGCCACTCTGGCAAGGGCAAGGGAGGCAAGGGCGTTGGAGGAGCTAGCGGGGGTGGTGGAGGGGGCGGTGGAGGCGGCGGAGGGAGTGGGGGTGGCGGTGGGAGTGGTGGCAAGGGTCGAGGTGTTGGTGGCGCCAGTGGAGGCGGAGGCGGCAGAGGCGGTAGCGGTGGGAGCGGAGGCGGCAGTGGTGGCGGAGGTGGAGGAGGCGGTGGTGGAGGTGGAGCTGGTCGGGGTGGTGCTACGCAGCGGAGCGGCTCTGGTGGTGGTCAGCGCCAGCAGCAGCAGCAACGTTCTCGGGACATCCCCCCCCCCCCCCTCAGCAGCTCCGTAATTGGTACGCTGCACGTCAGCGTGGTGGGGGTAGTGGTCCGTGCACCTACGTCCTCGGCACCGGCGACCGCGCGTGTGAGCAGTTTGGGGGTCTACACCCCACCTAGCGCTGCTTTGGCCGCCTGACGGACGCTTGGCGTCACCAGTTCTCGGAGGCCACTGAGATCCCCCGCTGGGGTGAGCTGTCTAGGGCGGGTGTAGCTATCTTTGATCTTGACTTTGATGCTATTCTTGCTGCCATGTATGCTGTGAGTATTAGTGATGAGGGTGACTGTTACCAGTGTTTCCCGCCCGACCCGGGCATTCAGACTACTGCTATAGGTACTACTGAGGCTGCTGCTTTAGGTGCCAGTGAGGCTGCTGCTCTAGGTGCCAGTGCGTCTGCGTCCTCAGGTGCTGGTGAGTTTGCGCTCTCAGGTACCGGGTTCGGATTCGGCCTCCCTCACCTTCACACTTGACTCAGGGGCTTCTCGCTCCTTCCAGGACCGCACCACACTCACACCGCTTGGTCGGCCTGTTGCGGTCTCCCTGGTAGACCCCTCTGGGGGTCCTGTCCTTTCTCACTTCTCCACTGTCCTCCCGTGTCCGGCTGCCCCCTCTAGCACCTTGTCTGGTCTTTACCTCCCCTCATTCTCTACAAACATGGTCAGTGGTGCTGACCTACAGGATGCGGGGGTTCACGAGTTTAAACCTGCGAGACAGCGGGTGACCCACATCTCGGACGCTCGCACAGGCCGGCACCTGGCCACGTTTACGCGTCGGACAGGGTCGAGTCCGTACACCCTGACCACTGAGTCTCCCCCTGTCCCCGCGTCTAGTTGGGTAGCTGCGTCAAGTCAGGTGTTTGCTGCAGCGTCCAGGTCTGGTCCTGAGTCTGCCCCCTGCTCGTGTCGCCTCCTGTCTGACGAGACTCTCCAGTGGCACCACCGCCTTGGTCACCCGTCCCTGCCTTGTCTGCGAGGCATGGCCTCCCGTGTCCTTGTCTCTGGTCTTCCCCGGTCCCTCCCTCCCCTTCCTACGGGGCCTGACCCTTCCTGCGTCCCTTATGTCAAGGGGCGGCTGCGGGCTGCCCCTCACTCCTCTCAGTTTCCCCCGACAGAGGCCCCGCTGCAAACGCTTCACATGGACGTGTGGGGCCCGGCCCGCATTCGTGGACAGGGTCATGAGCGCTACTTCTTGCTCGTGGTTGACGACTACTCGCGTTACACCATAGTATTCCCCTTCCGTAGCAAGGGTGATGTCACTGAGGTGTTGATCAACTGGATCCGCGCAGCTCGTCTCCTGCTCAGGAGGAGCTTTGGCTCGGACTTTCCTGTTCTGCGTCTGCACTCTGACCGAGGCGGAGAGTTCTCCTCTAGCCTTCTACGAGCCTACTGTCGTGCGCGAGGCATCCGCCAGACCTTCACGCTTCCGGACTCTCCACAGCAAAATGGGATTGCTGAGCGCCGCATTGGCATGGTCATGGACGTCGCCCGTACGTCCATGATGCATGCAGCTGCCCCCCATTTCCTGTGGCCGTATGCAGTTCGGTACGCGGCGCATCAGATCAACCTTCACCCCAGGGTCTCCATGCCGGAGACCTCCCCAGCTGAGCTGTGGACGTGGAAGGTTGGCGATGCGTCTGCGTTCCGTGTCTGGGGATCTCGGACGTTTGTCCGCGACTTGTCTGCGGACAAGCTGTCCCCTTGTGCTGCTCCTTGCGTCTTCCTTGGCTTCCCCCCTGATGCGCCAGGGTGGCAGTTCTACCACCCCTCCTCTTGTCGTGTTCTGTCCTCCCAGGACCTCACGTTTGACGAGTCGGTCCCCTAATACCGCCTCTTCCCCTACCGCACTCCATCCCTTCCCCTGCCACCGCTCTTCTTTGTGCCAGGTCCCCCTCCGGTAGACCCCCTCCCCCCTCATGGTCCTGCCCCTTCAGGTGTGTCCTAAGTGACTCTGGTGCTGCTGGGGGTGCTGAGCTTGGGGGTGCTAAGCCTGGGGGTGCTGAGACTGGGGGTGCTGAGCCTGGGGGTGCTGAGCCTGGGGGTGCTGAGCCTGGAGGTGCTACGCCTGGGGGTGCTGAGCCTGGGGGTGCTGAGCCTGGGGGTGCTGAGCCTGGAGGTGCTCCATCTGGAGGTGCTGAACTTGGGGGTGCCACGTTTGGAGCTGCTGAGCGTGGGGGTGCGGAGTGTGCAACCGGTGGGCTTGCTCGTTTGGCGTCTCGCGGTACTAGGTCTGGAGGTTCTCCGGGTGCTTCGTTTCGGCGGGAGCCACTCTCTCCACGGGAGCTGCGCGTGTGGTTTGCATGGCGCTGGAGACGTACTGCTGGAGCTTCTTCGGCTGCTGAGGGTGCTGGTGCCGCCGGTCCCGGACGTGCTCGTGCCGCGCGTACTAGAGCTGCTGGGCCTGCGGGTTTGCCTGGAGCTGGAACTGCTGAGGGTGTTGGCGCTAAGGCTACTGCTGTCCGTCCTGGAGACAGTCCTGCTGCGAGTGCTGCTGGTGCTGCTGGAGGTGCTGCTGGCACTAGTCCTGCTACGGGTGGTGCTGGTGCTGCTGGAGGTACTGCAGCTGGAGGTGTTGTTGTTGCTGGTACTGTCCCTACTGTGTCTGGAGTCGCCTCGCGGCCTCGCCCGTACTTCGTTCCGCTCCTTCAGTAGGTTCTTGGTCTTCCTCCTCCCTTAGAGTGTCCACCGCCTGTCCCGTCCCAGTCACAGTTACCGCCGCCCTCCCCACTGCCTGCTCCTTCTCCCTACACTGGTCCCACTTGAGGTCTTGCTGAGCGTCGTGAGCTTGCGTCTCGTCCTGCGACGCCTGTTCATGCTGCTCGCACTAGTGGTTGCGGTTCCCGTCAGCGTCCTCCTCCTGTCCCTGGCACGCACTGGATGTCTCTTCGTCCGTCCACTGCTCCTTTGCGTGCCCCTTTGCCTTCTCCTCCTGAGTCCTCTCTTCCTGCACTTGCCGACCCGGAGTCGAACTCTCTTCGTGTTGCCAGTCCTACTGTGACGCGTCTCCTTGCTACTGTTGTCACTGACCCCTCCTTTGAGTCCACTGCTGCGTATGCTCTAGTTGCTGAGCTTGTCGACTTTGCTGCTCGCTGTCGTCTAGACTACGCTGCCAGTCTTGTTGCTGAGTCTGCGTCTGTCTGTCCTCCGTCCGTCGGGGGTGAGTGTGCTCTTGGCATGGACGTCCTTGAGGACAGGCAGGAGGAGTTCCAGTGTCTGGCTGCTGCTTCACCTCATCTCGTGTCCGTACTGCTTACCCTTGAGGGAGACCCGGATGCACTTGACATCCCAACTCCGCGCTCTTACGTGGAGGCCGTAGAGGGTCCCTACTCCTCTCAGTGGCAGGCAGCTATGGATGCAGAGGTGGCTTCCTGGAAGTCCACAGGCACCTACGTTGACGCGGTTCCCCCACCTGGGGCGAACATCGTCAGTGGCATGTGGATCTTCAGGGTGAAGCGGCCGCCAGGTTCTCCACCTGTCTTCAAGGCGCGGCATGTGGCTTGTGGCTTCAGTCAACGGCAGGGAGTTGATTACATTCAGACCTTCTCTCCCACCCCGAAGATGAGCACTCTTCGGGTGCTGCTGTACATAGCCGCTCAGCGCGACTACGAACTTCACTCTCTTGACTTCAAAACTGCCTTCTTGCAGAGTAGCCTGCACGAGGAGATCTGGCTGCGCCGCCCACCTGGCTTCACTGGGTCTTTTCCTCCTGGCACCCAGTGGGGCCTCCGGTGGCCAGTTTACGGTCTCCGCCAGGCACCGCATGAGTGGCACGACACACTGAGGACTACACTTGCGGCTCTTAAGTTTGCTCCCTCTACTGCCGACCCGTCGCTGTTTCTGTGCACCGACACCTCTTTGCCGCCGTTCTACATCCTCGTGTACGTCAACCACTTGGTCTTTGCCACTGCCGACACTGCTCGACTCGCCCACGTGAAGTCCGAATTGTAGAAGAGACACACGTGGACAGACCTGGGTGAACTGCGTAGCTACCTTGGCTTGCAGATCGCCCGGGACAGAGCATGCCGCACCATTACCCTGACTCAGTCACACATGGTGCAGCAAGTCCTTCAGCGCTTCGGCTTCACGTACTCCTCGCCTCAGGCCACTCCTCTGTCTACTCGCCACTCGCTCTCAGCTCTGCCTTCGGATGAATCCGTAGAGTCGAGTGGCCCCTACCCAGAGCCTGTTGGCTGCCTCATGTACCTGATGACCTGCACACGACCTGACCTTGCGTACCCTCTGAGCATTCTTGCACGCTATGTTGCTCCTGGGAGACACAGACCGGAGCACACAGCTGCAACGAAAAGGGTGTTGCGCTACTTGTGCAGTACGTCGGGCATGGGGCTAGTGCTTGGAGGGCAGAGTCCAGTGGTCCTCACTAGGCACGCAGACGCTTCTTGGGCTGACGACCAGGCTACACAGCGGTCGTCACAGGGTTACACCTTCAGCCTTGGTTCCGGCTCTGTTTCGTGGCGGGCTACTCGCTCGTCTTCCGTTCTCGGCTCCACTTGTGAGGCTGAGATCTACGTAGGAGCCATGGCTGCTCAGGAGCTTTGCTGGCTCACCTACCTGCTGACTGACCTCGGAGAGCCGCCTCGTTCTCCTCCAGTGCTGTCGTAGACAACAAGGCCATGCTGGCCTTGTGTCGGGAGCAGCGCCTGGAGCACAGAACGAAGCACATTGCTCTGCGCTACTTTCTTGCTCGTGAGCTGCAGCAGCGTGGTCAGTTGCGACTTGCGTACGTGGCCTCTGAGGCCAACACTGCTGATATCTTCACCAAGGCGCTTGTGCCTTGTGATCATCAGCGCTTCTGTACTCAGCTTGGTCTTCTGCCTGGCTTGCCTCACTTGCTCACTTCTTGACCTTGCTTGTACTGTCACATATATATACTCCTGCTCTTGCTTGTTTAGCCTTTTATTTATATAAATATATGTGCCCCTGCATGTGAACTGGCCTTCAGGCCTTGAACTTGTGCTCGGAATGTGTGGTGACTTTGTGATCCACCCTGAGCTTTACTTTGCTTTGCTTGACTGGTCTTGTGACCCCTTGTTCTCCCCCACTTTGCCTATGGGGGTGACTCAAATTATAATGTTGTGTACGCTGTAGTGGGGTAGCCTATATGGGGTACACATTTCTAGGGTTGCATATTTGTACCACTTTCATTCCTTAGTGCATTCATTCTCGTTTCAACTTTCTCATTACCACCCAGCCCTCTCTCATCGGGAAGTCCATCAGGTATTGCGGTAGTGGCTCTGCGGCTGCCCGCAGGCTTTGAGGGAAGCGATCCCTGTCGCTTCATAGTTGATGTCGCGGAAATGTGGGACGAGTTGCATGAATGCTTTTAAGTTATCGTTGCGCTGAAAATAGTTGCGCTCATCATGGTACTGCGCTACGACGCAGAGCTTCTTAATATCGTTCCACGAGCTAAGGCCGTTCAATTTCCTGAAATCACAAACTGCCTTGAGGACACGGGTCAAACATTATATATGTTGTGTCAAATTATAATGTTGTGTAGGCTGTAGTGGGGTAGCCCATATGGGGTACACATTTCCAGGGTTGCATATTTGTACCACTTTCATTCCTTAGTACACTCATTCTCGTTTCAATCTTCTCATGGTATCGGGCAGGTTCCCTCGTGGGACCTCTGCCTAGGGCCCACCAAATCGAAAGTTTTTTTTTTCCGGCCCGGAGCGCGCTCCCCGAGTCGCGCTCCCCTCTTTTCCTTCGTCGAGCCGCCCTAGCGGCCACGTCGCGCCGCCTTAGCGGCCCCTCAATCGTCGCCCTAGCGACCCCGTCGCCCTACCTGCGCCCTGGCCCCGTCGCCCTACTTGCTCCCCGGCCCTGTCGCCCTACTTGCGCCCCGGCCCCGTCGCCCTACTTGCGCCCCGGCCCCGTCGCCCTACCTGCGCCCCGGCCCCGCCGCCCTACCTGCGACCCCGGCCCCGTCGCCCCGCTGCGACCCTGGCCCTGCCGCCATACCTTCAGCCCGAGCCCTAGCCCCATCGCCCTACCTGCGCCCCGACCCCGGCCCCGTCGCCCTACTTGCGACCCTGGCCCCGTCGCCCCACCTTCGACCCGAGCCCTGTCGCCCTACCTGCGCCCCAGCCCCGGCCCCGTCGCCCTACCTTCGACCCGGCCCCGCCGCCCTACCAGCGGCCCCGCCACCCTATTTGCGGCCCCGCCGCCCTACCAGCGGCCCCACCGCCCTACCTGCGGCCCCGCCGCCCTATTAGCGGCCCCGTCGCCCTACCTGCGGCCCCGCCGCCCTACCTGTGACCCCGCCGCCCTACCAGTGGCCCCGCAACCCTACCAGCAGCCTCGCCGCCCTACCAGCGGCCCTGCCCCCGTACGTAGCTGAGCCGCCCGCAACGCCCGAGCCACCCGAGCCGCCCGTTTCGCCCGAGCCGCCCGAGCCGCTCGTTTCGCCCAAGCCGCCTGAGCCGCCCGAGCCGCCAGAGCAGCTGACGAGCCGAGCCGCGGGTGCCGCCGAGCCGCAGTTATTGCCGAGCCGCCCGAGTCGTCTGAGCCACCGTGTTGTCGAGCTGCTGTGCTGCTGATCTGCCCGAACCGCCCTTTCTGGTGAGAGCAGCGCCTCTGTCACTGCACTGCCTCTGCTCTATAGTTAACTCTCCCAGTCTAGTGCTGTCATGGCCACCCCTAGTGTTCTCGCTTTTGACACTGAGAGTCGGGCCATTGACTTTGACGTGTGGGTAGATGACCTGCAGCTTTTCCTACAGTGCGATAGAGCAGACGGTCTCTCCCTCTTTGACCTCACCTCTGGTGCCTCCCCTGCCCCTGCTGCCGATGCCGACGCCATTGTTCGCTCACAGTGGGCCACTCGCGATGCTGCTGCACGTCTTGCTCTGCGTCGCCACCTGCCTACCACTGAGCGCGCCCACTTTAGTCAGTACAAGAATGCTCAGACCTTGTACGGCGCTGTAGTTGCACGCTACTCTTCCCCTGCCACTGCTGCACTGAGCCGCCTCATGCTACCGTACCTCTTCCCTGACCTTGCTGCCTTTCCTACAGTCTCTGACCTCATTACACACCTCAGCACTAGTGACACTCGCTACCGCGCTGCGCTTCCTGCTGAGTTCTGCGCCAAGAACGCCCCCCCCCTATGTACATCACTCTCTATTACATAGTCACCCGGCTCCCTGACTCCCTTCGTGTAGTGAAAGACCACTTCCTCTCAATCTTTCCCACCACTCTCACTGTTGACCTCCTCGAGAAGGCCCTCCTAGCAGCGAAGAAGAGCATCGTCGCTGTAGGAGACTCTCGTGGTGACCCGCGCACCCCCATCTTTGAGGGGTGTTCCCCTTACCCCCTTTTGCCCTCTGTCGCCTCTACTGCTGCAGCCGACCTCGTTGGTCTTGAGTCGGTCGGTGCGGCGTCTGCCCCTAGCGGGAGACGCCCATCTGGCAAGGGCAAGGGAGGCAAGGGCGCTGGAGGAGCTAGCGGGGGTGGTGGAGGGGGCGGTGGAGGCGGCGGAGGGAGTGGGGGTGGCGGTGGGAGTGGTGGCGGGGGTGGCGGTGGAGGCGGAGGCGGCGGAGGCGGTAGCGGTGGGAGCGGAGGCGGCGGTGGTGGCGGAGGTGGAGGAGGCGGTGGTGGAGGAGGTGGAGCTGGTCGGGGAGGCGCTACGCAGCGGAGTGGCTCTGGTGGTGGTCAGCGCCAGCAGCAGCAGCGTTCTCGGGACATCCCCCCACCTCAGCAGCTCCGTGAGTGGTACGCTGCGCGTCAGCGTGGTGGGGGTTTTGGTCCGTGCACCTACGTCCTCTGCACCGGCGACCGTGCGGGTGAGCAGTATGGGGGTGCCCACCCCACCTAGCGCTGCTTTGGCCGCCTGACGGACGCTTGGCGTCACCAGTTCTCGGAGGCCACTGAGATCCCCCGCTGGGGTGAGCTGTCTAGGGCGGGTGTAGCTATCTTTGATCTTGACTTTGATGCTATTCTTGCTTCCATGTATGCTGTGAGTATTAGTGATGAGGGTGACTGTTACCAGTGTTTCCCGCCCGACCCGGGCATTCAGACTACTACTCTAGGTACTGGTGAGGCTGCTGCTCTAGGTGCTAATGAGGCTGCTGCTCTAGGTGCTAGTGCGTGTGCGTCCTCAGGTGCTGGTGAGTCTGCGCTCTCAGGTACCATGTCGGCTTCGGCCTCCCTCACCTTCACACTTGACTCAGGGGCTTCTCGCTCCTTCTTTCGAGACCGCACCACACTCACGCCGCTTGGTCGGCCGGGTGCAGTCTCCTTGGCAGACCCCTCTAGGGGTCCTGTCCTTTCTCACTTCTCCACTGTCCTCCTGTGTCCGGCTACCCCCTCTGGCACCTTGTCTGGTCTTTACCTCCCCTCATTCTCTACGAACTTGGTGAGTGGTGCTGACCTACAGGATGCGGAGGTTCACCAGTTTACTCCTGCGAGTCAGCGGGTGACCCACATCTCGGACACTCGCACAGGCCGGCACCTGGCCACGTTTACGCGTCGGCCAGGGTCGAGCCCGTACACCCTGACCACTAAGTCTCCTCCTGTCCCTGCGTCTGGTCAGGTAGCTGCGTCAGGTCAGGTGTTTGCTGCAGCGTCCAGGTCTGGTCCTGAGTCTGCCTCCTGCTCGTGTGGCCTGCTGTCTCACGAGACTCTCCTGTGGCACCACCGCCTTGGTCACACGTCCCTGCCTCGTCTACGAGGCATGGCCTCCCGTGTCCTTGTCTCTGGTCTTCCCCGGTCCCTCCCTCCCCTTCCTCCGGGGCCTGGCCCTTCTTGGGTCCCCTGTGTCGAGGGGCGGCTACGGGCTGCCCCTCACTCCTCTCAGTTTCCCCCAACAGAGGCCCCGCTGCAGACGCTTCACATGGAGGTGTGGGGCCGAGCCCGCGTCCGTGGACAGGGTGACGAGCGCTACTTCCTGCTGGTGATTGACGACTACTCGCGTTACACCAGAATCTTCCCCTTGCGCAGCAAGGGTGATGTCACTGAGCTGTTGATCGACTGGATCCGCGCAGCTCGTCTCCAGCTCAGGATTAGCTTTGGCTCAGACTTTCCTGATCTGCGTCTGCACTCTGACCGAGGCGGAGAGTTCTCCTCTGGCCTTCTGCGAGTCTACAGCCGTGCGCGAGGCATCCGCCAGACCTTTACGCTTTCGGACTCTCCACAGCAAAATGGGATTGCTGAGCGCCGCATTGGCATGGTCATGAACGTCGCCCGTACGACCATGATGCTTGCGGCTGCCCCCCATTTCCTGTGGCCGTTTGCGGTTCGGTACGCGGCGCATCAGATCAACCTTCACCCCAGGGTCTCCATGCCGGAGACCTCCCCAGCTGAGCTGTGGACGGGGAAGGTTGGAGATGCGTCTGCGTTCCGGGTCTGGCGATCTCAGGCGTTTGACCGCGACTTGTCTGCGGACAAGCTGTCCCCTCGTGCTCCTTGCGTCTTCCTCGGCTTCCCCCCTGACGCGCCAGGGTGGCAGTTCTACCGCCCCACCTCTCGCCGTGTTCTATCCTCCCAAGACGTCACGTTTGATGAGTCGGTCCCTTACTACTGCCTTTTCCCCTAGCGTACTCCGTCCCTCCCCCCGCCACCACTCTTCCTTGTGCTAGGTCCCCCTCCGGTAGACCCCCTCCCCTCTC